ATGTTAAAATATTATTAATATAAAATTCAAAGCAGTATTATATATTTTATATTAACAATGTTTAACATGATTTTGGATTTTATTAGGATATTTATGTGATCTATTAACTGTTATTACTTGCAATTGTCGGTTCTTTATAATGTTAATTATGACCTTGTAAACAGATTAAAATGTTTGTTCAATTATATGAAATATAATAAAAATATATTTAGTTTTATATTATTTCTCTTCCTGGTTTAACATTAAATTAACTTGGTTCATAGCCACGACCTCTTTTTTTAATTACTTGATTTATAAACATTTAATGGCTGTGTGCAATTGAAAATAATTTTCGGTTTATATTAGAAAAAGTAATAGGTATATACATTCATTACATCTTTTAATATAAACAGAAAATAATTTTTAATTACACAAACAACTGTTAAATTAACTTTGCTTCACACAAAATCCTATTTTTATGTACTGATTATTTTATGCATCTTTACGCTCCATCCAGATAATGAGTTCAAGTTGACAAAACGGCTAGCTTGCTCGCTGAGCAAATAATTGGTTATAAATCTAGCTTATTACTTATAGATCTAACCAATTATATTCAATCGCTCGGTAAGCATACTTAGGTGCTTTGTCATCTTGAATTCGCCCATATGGCTATGCTCCAGATCGCAGCACTCGCTGATCACGTATATCACTAGCGCTCTTTGTATAAAGAATGTAATAGCGTTTTCGGCCGATCGGGTTTGCACCGCGTGACGTGTAATGTCAACCAATAGCGAAGCATTCTCTAAAGTTGATGCAAACCAACCATCTATCTACCAATAGGAGAGCACGAAACATCATCAACTTCAACCCAGATTAATGCAAACTTGGTCGGGCCGAAATAAGGACACGAAATTAGCGCTTCTTGATAATGGGCGAGTTTAAGACAGTAAAGCAGCTAGATGCTTACCGAGCGATTGAATATGATTGGTTGGATCTATAAGTAACAACCAATTATGTTCATTTGGTCAGCGAGCAGACTAGCCGCTTTGTCAACTTGAACACGCTCAATATCAAGGACACGAAAGGAATGCGGTCGATGATAATGATGATGTATCTTAATTTGAAAAGTGGCAGTTCGGAACTTTGCGTCGCGATATCTCCGCTTGTAAGGTACATAAAGAAAAAATAAAAACACTTTCATTATATATTCCGAGCACTTGCAATCGATTGAACATACTTAGAATTTAATCGGTTTAGCCCTCATTGAGTTTATGATAATCTCGATCTGATGCAACTCGCCAGTTCGCGTAAAGAAGACACATCTATGTCTCACACCATAGCTTAGCGCCGAGATATTATCAGTGTCTCCAAATCTTTTATATATTATATTAATTATATATTAGGTATAGTAAAAAGAAATCCATTATTTTTCCATTCAATGCATTTCATGCAAAAATAATGGATTTCTTTTTACTACACCTAATATATTATGTTTTATATTATAGTTTGAGAGAGTCTCTTTCCTCGTTCAGTATATATTAGGTGTACAACTTTGCTTCCGCCGTTTTCCTATAGATGGCTTTAGCGGTAAGTGGTGGTCGAAATAAATAGATCATAGACGTCATACAATAAACTTGGGCATCTGTCAACATAACCCCATAGAAACATTAGTCGATTTGTGTCTGCATCATAAAGTTATTCTCGATTGAAAATGTCAGTTTACGAGCCAAATTCTCGTAATTTGCGGGTTTTAATTTTTTGCTTCAATATGAAGAAATCTGCGGCTGAGGCTCATCGAATGCTCTCAAATATTTATGGTAAGGTCGTTATTAGTGAAAGAACGTGTCGTGAGTGGTTTCAACGCTTCAAGAACGGATTTTGACGTCCAAGGTCATGCTCTGTATTTGGTAGGATCAGCTCGGCGTAGTGTATCATGAACTGTTAAAACTGACTGAACAATCATAGGCGATCAGTATCGAACGCAATTGATGCGTTTGAGCCGAGCATTGAAAAACAAACGGCCGCAATACAAGGAGAGACACGATAAAGTGATTTTGCAGCATGACAATGCTCGACCCCATGTTGCGAAAGTGGTCAAGCATACTTGAAAACGTTGAAATGAGAAGTCCTACCCCCCCTGCCGTATTCTCCAGACGTTGCTCCCTCTGACTATCACTTGTTTCGATCAATGGCACACGGCCTGGCTGACCAGCACTTCCGGTCTTATGAAGAAGTAAAAAATTGAATCGATTCGTGGATAGCCTCAAAAGATGACCAGTTTTTTCGACGCGGGATTCGTACGCTACCCGAAAGATGGGAGAAAGTAGTGGCCAGCGATGGACAATACTTTCATCATCATAAATGTATAACCAGTTTTTTACAATAAAGCCTCGAATTTCGGAAAAAAAACGGCGGAAGCAAAGTTGTACACCTAATAAAAAATTTAAAAAAACAATAAATAAAATAACAATTTAATGTGATATATGTCGAAAACATAATTGCAGTTATCACGTAGGCTGCGTTCCATTTCACGCATAATGTGCATGATGTATCATTTTATTGTTTGACACTTGGCAAAAGACAAAGATAAAATAATATATATTATGCGCATTATGCATGAAATGGAATGCAGCCTATATATACACTACTGTATTCAACTGTATTTAAGTATGTCTTCTCGTGTTACCTAAAATCTTAGAATATACATATTGAAAAGGCCATAGGTGAGGATTTGAGTACAAGAATTGTCGTAACTTACTTAGAGATTTAAGTTGTAGACATAAGTAACGCACAAGCTTTCACGTATGACATACATCTTATTGCCGTATCTCCAAGAGATGGCAATAAGTCATACGTGAAAGCTTGTGCGTTACTTACGTCTACAACTTAAGTATTATGACAATTCTTGTACTCAGACCCTGACTGTCAATGGCACCAACATTTAGTATTTGTCCTTGTCTGAATGCTTCATCGTAATGCGCATGTGTCGATTATGAATATCCATATGTACATACGTTCAATTTCAAAACTCGCGAAAGCATATAAAATTATTAAAAAATGAGACGTTATTATGTTATATATCTCAAAATAGCAACGAAGCAAAAATATCTCTTCATGTGTAAATATAGCCTTACTTCGTAAATAATTTTAAGCCAAGCTTTAAGGTTACGTATTGAAGTAATTTAAATTATATAAATATATAAAATATGTATGCATTTTACCTAGTCAGAAATGATAATGAAATCGATATCGAATCGATGTCAATCGATGTCGATTTACTTTCGACATCAATTCGATGTCGTTCCATTATCATTTCTGATTGGGTTAAGTGTATGGTTATCATATTAAAATAATTTAAAAATTTATTATATGTTTTGCACACAATGTTTAGATTTCCTAAAGATGTAGTTCAAAGATCTAAATGGTTAAATTTTTGTCAAATGGATGAAAGAAAAATAAACTCTGTTATTGTGCTGTGATAACTATTCTACATTTTGATAAATATTTTACATTTTTTCAAGTTCAAATTACATATCATCATGCGCAAGCGTACAGCAAACATGCATTCAGACAAGGACAGATAAATGTTGGAGACACTTTTATTACATAGGTTATATATGATATGGCTTTTCCAATATGTATGTTTTAAGCCTGAAATCCTCAAAAGTATGTTCAAGCATTAAAAAAATTGAGTGCAAAAAGTGCAAGTAAACAAGTCTATTGATCTCATGACGAATTCCATCATGTATTTCATCATGTGTTCAATGCATGTAGTACATACGCATGTACATTTAGAACTCCAGAACTTTCTAGGCTATTTTTTTAGAAACTTCTCTCTTTTAGGAACGACATTGTATGAACAGAATATATAGATATCCGATATTTGATGAAAACAAGAAGAAAAGTTTTTTAGTGTAATCTAGTGCAGTGATAAAAAACAAACCAGCTATTTCGACGACTAGAAAGATGACAGACACTTGGCGTTTGGATATTTTACCAAACGAGATGTTGCTTTCAATTTTCAATTATTGCAATGCATATGATTTGATACAACTTAGCCAAGTATGCAAGCGATTTTATAGGATCATATCAGATACAGGCTGGAATAAAAAAAGGAAATCATTTCTCGTTACGAATCAAACGTCGGAAATGTTTCGTAAAAGGTATATTGTTAGACTGTGTTTAATCTGTGTTTGAACTGAAATTTCCGAAATGTTTCTTTGAACCTAAATTTAGACTTGAACGAAGCAAATTCAATCGCACGAACGTAACAGTTCTTCAGTATGATAATTATGATAAAATAATGAGATAATCTTATTTATTGTTTTCTTTATTAAATGTGTATTTTTATTTTTGTGAGATATTGATATTTAGCTTTGTTGAATATGAATTATATTATCAATCAATTAGTAATTGCATTAAACTAATCAATAGAGATGGCACGTATTTCGGAAGTTATTCATCTGTCTAAAGTTTAGAACATCGCTGTTGCTCGCCCCTTTTTCCTATGGACCTTGGTACCAAGCAGTTGTGTTAATTACGAGGCCTTGCAGCGGCGATATTAGATAACTTTCTAGTTTCAGATAAGTCTAGAATAAGCAATCTGTCTCTATACAAACTATTAGAATTTATCTGTTTAATTGACTAAATAAAATTATTATACTGTGAAGTTTTGTTCCTCTTTTGCTATCTTGTTTATTAATTAATTAATATTGAAATCTCTTCTTAGATGAGAGATAAACTTATTTACAAGTTTTGTTCTAATTAAATGTGATTGGACTTAAATAAGAATTATGTATTCTTTTATTAAGAAACTTTATTAAGAAACTTTCAAACTTTTTACAGTTTACAAAAGAAAACTATTTTCTGATAATTATATACACACATATATATATATATATATATACACATATATATATACACATATATATATAAGAAAGAATAAAATAAAAATTAGAAAATTGTGTTATTTTTAGATGTTTTACATTATTGCAACCACATGCAGCATGGCACATATCTCAGAACTGGCATTATGGAATATATAAAAAAGAAGCTGTATTCTCATGGAAAAAAAGTATGATACCATGGCTAAAAATGACGGACAATATGCTTTGGTGGATGTTTGGGGATCTTTATGGTTTTAAGCGTCATGAGAAGACATTAAATAAATACCGATCAAGATATCATACCATAGAATCCTGTGGTCTTCACATCAACAAATTCATTATTTGGAAAAATTTCATCATATGTGGTTATATGTATGTATGTGTGTGTGTGTGTGTATGTAATCATTTTTTATTTTTGCAACATATATATAATCCTTTGCAAAAATTTTTAGGGATGGCACTGTAGTCTACTTTATGGTGAATTTCGAAGATGATTTGCGCACTGCAAAAATGATCGCACAGAAGTCAGCTTCTGTAAAATCTACTGTTAATGCCATAGATGCCTCGTTAGAAAATGTTATTGCAGGTTTGGATAATGGTACAGTAAAGGTAAGAGTTGGTGAATCTGATACAGTAATGTAGTATACGATGTAAGATTCATTTCTATTTAGATATTTAGACATCCAGAACTTTTGAATGTAAGGACTTGGGATCAAATATGCAATATGGATATAAATAAAAGAATGCTTACTGGTGATGATAAAAAGGGGGAAATCTATATAAATCTAAAAGATAAAGTGCAATCACTTTCAATTGATCCTACTGGAATAACATTTGCTGTTGGTTCGGCTGGAATAAATGACGTTCCATTACATGTAATCAATGTCGAGCGGTATGTGTAATATTGCAATATTTAATCGATCCATGAGATCTAGAATTAACGATATTTACTACAATTTTAATGCGATTGATCATACAAATAACACATATTAAATATTTTGAAAAAAAAACTAACGGAGAGATTTCAGTTACACAATGGTCGATACAATGCAGCACGAGTGGAAATACGGCGCTGGAATATTAGACATGGTATGGGATGATCCCAACACTTTACTCACTTGCGGTTATGATACATACATCCGAAAATGGGACTTGAGGTAACATCTCGATTGCTCAATCACTATTTTCAACTTTATGTAATATTAACAACTATGATTTGAGAACTGGAAGATGCGTTTGCTCATGGGTGGATCCATGCGATGCAACATTATATTGTATTGCATCCGATAATCAATACACTATGATAACAGGGACACAGTATAATTGTTTAGCTATTCTATGGGATCAGAGGAAAACTGATTTCGTTCAGGTTCTTATCAAAACTTTTAAAATGATATATGTGTTTTGTAAATTACAAATTGTTTATGATAAATATTTTTTCAATATTTTTAGATGTATTATGTAAATTCGCAAGAATCATCTCGACGCAGCCCAATCTATTCTTTACAATTTGATAGTACACATCTGTATTGCGCTACAGATAAACGCATGATCGAATTAAACTTTTCACTCCGTTCAAATCAAAAGCATGATTACAAATCATTGTTTGCATATTTAAAAAATAGGTAGATGCAGATCGATTCAAATAAAACTTTTCATGCTTAAAGAAAAGTTTAATTACAATTTGTGACAAGAAGCATAGAAGATATGAAGAGCAAAATCAAATTTTAAGAATTGAATCTTGGATATGATGTATTTCGTAAAAATAGTGCGCTTTATAAAAACAGCGATATTATTTTATTATAAACTGTAATGATACGAATTGTAATTATTATGTATTATATATAAATAATGATTGTAAATAAATATTTAGTCACAGATATTACTTTATGTTCATTAAAAAAATAGAAACTAGTCAAAGTATTGTTAAAATTTCTCGATGTAATTCTTGATATTATCGAAGATCTATACTTGAATCCGTTATGCGAGTTTTGTCACGAAGTTTCATGCGCATTTATAGAATTTTACTGTGACAAATGTTACTGTGTTGAAAAGAATCAGTCTGATGAAATAGTAAAAATAAATATGAGACAGTTCTTCCTCATGGAAGAACTGCGCTTATTTTAGAAAAATGCTTTACTTTATTAGGTTTAAAACCTTTTGCACAAATATAAAAGGATAAGAGAATAAATTTATCATATATGTATACGAGTACTTTAATATAATAAAATATAAAAAAATAAATTAAGAGAGTATGAAACTAATTTAGTGTATTGAAATCTAATAAAATCTGATTTAATAAAAAAGCATTAATATAAAAATATGTCGATTTTTTAAATGCAATTTTTCTATATTATTTATTATGCTATATATCTACAATGCATTGCAAACACGCGTTGAAACGTTTATCGCGATAATCAATTAGAAGCATTAATGATATTATTTATGCTTCTGATTGGTTGTCGCGATAAACATTTCGGTTGTTTGCAATGCATTGTGCCCTTTATGGAATCGCACCTCAGGTCTTTGATTCTGTTGATGTATTCGTTGCAGTATCTATATTTGAAACAGAAAAATAAGCCTTCCGAATAGACTGTATCCCCAACAAATGAGAATGGATTAAAATGGATTGAATTTTTTTTTATCCGAATGCGTATTTTAAATAGCGAATACTTTTTTGGATTTAATTGGATTCAATTAGATTCAATTGAATGCAATTGGATTCAAAAAACTGCATTTCCTATTCAAAATTTTGAATTGAACAGTATTCACAATTGTGTTTGTGTACACAGAAAAAGCTAATATTATTTTTAGATTGAAAGACAGAGATATGTTCCATGCAATTTCTATAAATGAATAAAAATGCATTCAGAATTGAAAAGTATTTATTTTAACATTCGTAAATCAATATTTCTGAAAATCTGAATCCATTTCAATTTATGTGTATACTTATAATTTTACTGATTTGGAATGGATCTAAGATAATTTATCTGTAATTTATGTGTGAACAATTTGCATTCGTACATTTTTTTTTTAATTACACCTTAAAGTATTAACATATAATTGAAAGTCATTCTGTAATAAACAAAGTCAATTGTATTGCAACGATTTATTATTATTATGATGATGATGCATATCAGCATATATATACACATAAAAGCAATATCATTTTTCCATACATATATATAAGATAGATAGATAACGATTATAAATATTAAAAAAAAATTTTTTTAACAATGATGGCAAAGAATTTATTAGAATAATAAGCTTTGTGTTTTGTTTAATTGTGGAGTACTTCCACTATAAAACTAATATAGCGTAAAAACTTAGTATAACAAAAATTTGAAATGTTATGAAATAAATATATTCATTAATGGCATGCTGTACACAAATATTTATAAATGCCATATTAATAAATTTTAGATGATAGAAAGAATTGGCATTTATTACGATAGCGCTTATAGCAATATTCTGTATTTCCTTCATGTATTCAAAACTTAATCTTGTTTATAAAAGAGGTATAGCTGATATCCCAAAACCAATATTAAGTATCTCATTAAGTAGCCTTCTAAGAGGATCATTTATATTCATTTTTTTTAATCACTCATCAAAGCATTGTTCGAATCATATAATTAAGAATACCACCGTGTTTGAAGTAAGTCAAGTCGACATCCGTATCAAATCGTGCAATCACTTTGAATTTTTTCCCGTTGTCCGTGTTCACAATGATCATTTCTCCGGGTTGACAATTCGTGGGGATCATAATATCGTATTGCTCATAACCCGTTAATCCCAAGGTCTCTGCATTTTCTCCAGAAAGATATTGTAGTGGAACAATGCCCATACCCACAAGATTGGACCTACAAATAAATGAATTTAAATATAGATATACTTTAAATAAAAACAATTGTAAACCAGATTTCTTTAAACAAAAATAAAAAAAACTCAATATTTTATTTAAAATTGTTTACTTTAAACATACAAGCTAACTCCTAACTTTTTAAAAGAGATGTATCTTAAAATTCAATGAAAAAAATTGATTAAAATTGATTAAAAAATAAATATAATGCTTAAAAAAAATACTTGCCTGTGTATTCTTTCATACGATTCTGCTATAACCGCTCGAATACCGAGTAAATATGGTCCTTTGGCGGCCCAATCTCTGGAAGATCCAGATCCATATTCCTTGCCAACCAGAGCGATTAAAGGTGTTTCGTCTTTCGCGTACTTCTCGGCTGCATCAAATACGTCCATCTAAATTATATATAGCCCAATTGTTATTAACACATCCGCTACCAATGTATATTTAAAAAACTGTCTATTACAAATATTATGCCTTTTTAAACATTTAAACTGATGTAAAATTTTTAACAAATTGAACAAATTTTTTTTGCTTTAAAGCAGTTTGAAACCTGGAATATGAAACAAAAGGTCTTAAGTATAAATTCGAGTTAGTTTCCGAATCACAAAATTTGCACATGATATAAAGATGTTGTAAAACTTTAAATGCATTTTTCTTGAAATCTTGTTTTTCAAAACGATGTCGAAGATTTCTCTCTTTCAGGATGTACTCATCGGATTGACTTAAATTTTTGGTTTTTTATTATTCTTATAGTATTCTCTAAGCATTGGTCGACGATTTTTACATCATTATTATTTTGCAACATCATTATTATTTTGCAAGATACTAATAAATTAATTAACAATATTTGTGCCAAAAGTCAAACCGAAAGTTAAAAAAAATTTTTTCAGTCAAATTTTAATAAAGTTTAAATAAGCTCGGTCAAGGATTAGAGAATACAAAACAACACTTCAGTAATATTTTTTTCCAAGTATAAATAATAAGGAGCATACAGCCACAACGACAGATGTTAAAACGAAAATAATATATTTATTATTATTATATAAGAAACATAGACGCTTCGATCAAGATTCGATTATCTTCAGTACATAAAGATGATAATAAAGAATTACAAACAAGTTTATTAATTAAGAACGAAAAAAAAAATTTTAATTTATTAAAATTTTATTAAAAAGCGTTTTTCTTTTCCTTAATTTTTAAATAAAATCTAGAAATTTCGTATTCTCACACGAAGTCATGAAGTTCTTTGCTTCCATAAAAAAGGAATCATAAACGGAATAGATTAGTCGCCAGATATTACATCAATATAAATTTTTTTTTCTTTTTTTTTCAATATATATTTTTATTGGTAAACTTCATTCTCTGGACTTTATCTTACTCGATTAATGCGTACTACAAGCGATTGGAAGGAAAAAAAATTGTTACTATCTTATTGACTTGCGATAATTTTTTTAATATTATGCACTTCTTTCTTTGTCATCTTGATTCTGTATTAACATTTCTTTGACAAACGATTTTGAAAAATTACCTACTTTTACGGTTGATCGGTCTAACCCCTTAATGTATTTAAATCATATATATTTAAAAAATATATATTTAAAAAATGCAAAATTTATTTATCTGTGACAAGGATTAAAACGGATTATAATATTAAATAAATATTAAATATTTAAAACTGTATGCAGTGAGAAATGAAACTAGAACGAGAAAGCACATTAATACCTCTTCATTTGTTGGAATGTAGATCGTTCGTGGTCCCGCTTTACCAATAAATTTATTCAGCAGACGAATGTTAGCGAATGTACCCCGCGCCATCACGGCATCGTTTCCTCTACGCGAACCGTAAGAATTGAAATCTTTTGGCGTCAAGCTAGGAATGAAAATAATTATTAAAAATTTAGCCAGTTTGCATTCGTTGTCTCCATTATTTCATTGATATCAAACTCACCCTCGATTAGCTAGATATCTCGCCGCTGCTGAATTACGCGCAATACTGCCTGCTGGGCTAATATGATCGGTTGTAACAGAATCTCCAAGATTTACGAGCACTCGCGCTCTTGTAATCGATTGGATTGGAGATGGCTCCTGTAAAATCATTTTTCATTTTTTTACAAATACTGGATGAGTTTTTGAATCAAAGATTGCAAAATATCTGGAAAAATAAGCATTGTACGAAAAAAATGTCTCAAATAAATCCTCAATTCTATCCCACAAAACCGCCTCTCGCTCTTCCTTGGGTGTGGGGCTGAGAGTAACTTTGAAATCTTAAATAAGAACCTCTACTTTTTATTGTAGATTCGGATTCTACGTCAAAAACAATTTTGTCTAAATCTTTTTTTTCGATTCCGATTATAATTTCTGTCGCGTCCACGTCATTAATCCTGGTAAAACTAAGAATAGATAACAATCGTAAACATCTATGATAATTCGAAAAATATGTTTTAGACAAAAATTGCTTTCTTCACGGTAGCATCAAAACAAAACATGAAGAGGGGAAAGGGATTAATTTTTGCGGGATAGAATTGCTTCCTCAAAAATATTGAGGGTTTATTTGAAACATTTTTTCGTACAATGCTTATTTTTCCAGATATTTTGCAGTTTCTGATTAAAACTCACCCAGTATAAAAATTTTACAATAAAAAAGCAAATTATTCTTCAGCACATAAATATCTTTAAAAATAATTTAAAAATTTTAACCTGACTGCTATTATTAGCACAGCTCAGATAGTTTTTCTATATTAATATCTAAAATTCTAAATATGTAACATAACTTTTAAGAAGTGAAAGTTAATGTTAAGATAAAAAAATTAAATTTAAATTCTTTTCGTATTCCATAAAAATTTCAATATCAAGCATTTATAATTTACAATAAAATTATATATCTAATTACCTTCTGCAAGTTATCGAAATAGGGTGGATTTTTAATGTATGTAGAATCAATGTCCCATGGGTATAACTTGCCCTCAGGTGCTACCAAGCTTGCCCAATTGTCGCTACCATGTTCGATTTTACCGTAGACT